GCTGGGTCACGGCGCCGGGAATAGCCGCGGGGTGAGCCGGAGGCGCCCCGTGTGCGGGCTCGTTCCCCACGGGGCGCACGGATGGGCTGCGGAGAGCTCCTTTGTTCCCGTGCGGGACGCCGGTGCCGCTTGGGGGCACGTGCGGGTTTTCACCTTTCCATCGTCTGGTTAAAGGACTCTAGAACACCTTACGTCCCGGAGCAGTAAAGACTGACAGAACTTACCAAAACCTAAACACCCACTCTGAGGATTTTTCTATCTTTTTTTAGGCAAAGTAAGTATATCTTGTTTACACCGTGTTTTAATAAACACTGCGCGATAATGCGTTGCCTGCTGGCGAACAGACTGATGTGGAACGGCTTTGTTCCCGTGAATAGCCCTGCAGGACAGACGCGCCGTGCTTGTTCTCGCGCATCTTTTGACTTGTTAATTTGAACCTCGGGTTCATTTCCCTGAAACAATTTGAGAAAAGCGGGTGGGAGTGGCGTAGCGATTTGTTTTGCTGGAGCCAGGCAAAGGTAGGAAGGTGGTTTTCTTATTCCCAGTCACATGTATGTTTTCTCCGCCTGGTAGGACTTGTATATTTATTCCTTTGTAGTTTAGAAAGAGGGAACTGCATTTCTGGGAAAATGTAATCGGTTATTTCAGCTGACTGCCGGTGCGGTGTGTATTTTTAAGAGCCTCTTCATCTAGTTTAGTTGCGCTGCTTTTTGGTTCGTTTTCCTTTTAGACCATTTTCTGGAAAGGTCTTTTGTGTACAGCTACTCCGATTCTCTAACAAAGTGCAGTGGCTTTGAGCTGTTGCCTTACGTCTGAGACTTCTACCTCCTTTTTTTCTTTCTCAATAAAACTGCTTTCCTGAAATTCCTGTAAAACGGCTACAGTACTTTATTTGCAATAGTTTGGGTTAGCCCGAGGTTTCTTGCTGCAGCTGCTACCTGGCAGTAGTCAAAACTAAATACCACACCACTCATAGCTCGGAGTGTGCCAGGCTTCTGGCTTGAACCTTGGATTTGTTACCGGCTGCTTCTCTGCTCACTTTGGTGTGTGAGAAGGGAGTTATCCGCCCGCTGAGGTCAGGCATGGATCTGCAGGCAATCACCCGTGATTCTTGGCTTGCAGAACTTGAGTAATGCTTTCTTCAGCTTCCTTTGGGAAGGCAAGTCAGAGGTCTACAGACATCTTCCTAGAAGGGTTCTGAGAAGGAATAATCATCTGCTGCGGGGAAGAAACAAGGGATTTTGTTTGCGTTTGTTTCCCATGGCACACAGTAAAGGACAGCTCATGAGATGTTTGAAACATGTAATGTCCGAAAGCAATGCAAGTTTACTCAGTGCATCTAAATCACTCTCTGCTTCAGAATGTAAAGTACATAGTTTTAAATGGTTGTAAATTCCCTTCTATGCATGTCCCAGTTTTGGATTCCTCACCTGGTTTTTTTGGGGTTTTGTTTGTTTGTTTGTTTTGCTGTTTGTGGATCAGGGTTTTTTTGACGAGGCCAGTAGCCTGCATTTTCTCCAAACAGTGAAGACTCTATTCATAGTTACATCACTACCCTGCACAGTCATGTTTTGCTTCCAAGTTCCTCATGTTGGTAGAGTCTTCATTTGAGCAGAAGTGACAGCTACTCCCTAGGTAGTCCTTGCACCATTGGCTTAAAATAAACAAGACCTCTTCTCTTCTGTACAGTTAAGTTTGTACATAACTAGCTGTTGAATTGGACTGTTTTAGAAATAAAATGTATTGCTAGTTTGGGGAAGTAGTTAAAAGTTCCTGTACGCTCATTGGCCTTGGAATATTTTTTCTGGATATTGGCATCCTGCTTTCTGAACTTGTATCTCTCACAATAACAGTTGAGATGTAATATAATATTTATTGTTAATCCTACTTTTAGTTTGCTGAATTTGGACTTTTTGTTTTTCTATTTTAAATAAAATGTGAAAGAGGTCTTTAATAGTCATTAATGCACTGTGCATGTATTTAACAACTCTTTTCATGACAGATAGCCAGAACGCCTCATGATGAGTAAATCCAGAAAACTTGATATTCAAAGCTCATGTAAGTAAAGTTGTTATTAGTTTCAAAAATATTTCATCTGCATGTATAATGCCAGTTATAACTTGTTTTATTTGAGCTCAAGGAACAGTTGGATTTTCAGAAATCAAATTGTGTTGGAACCACTTGTCTCACAGAATGAAAAAGAAGTAACTTATAAACTTTCTTGGAATTCTTTGCTGTAATTGGAATATTTAAACATATTTTGTGCAGATATTTTAAGAAGGTAACGTTGTGAATTCGGCTGCCAAATCACGCAGAGCTGTGTTTTGAGATGTACAGTTCAGAACTGGCTTAGGCTGAAGCAGAACCCTAATTCTTGTCACTTCTATGACTGTTCCTGATTTTAGAATATCGTAAATGTATCTTGTATATCTACTGGGTATTGAAGGGAAGTTGTTAAATGTCTGTGAAAGTATGTTTGTGGGCCAGAACTTGAGTAAGTGGGAAGTGCTCAAGGTTTTAGTTGAATCCAATGTTGTCTCAAATTCTTGAATGCTTTTTAATGCAGTGGTAGCATATTAATTGGTACCCTCAGGGGTACCATTGATGTGCTTTTCACCAAGGTTATCACATGGGTATACAAAGAAATGGTTATGTTGATTTGTGGAGTCTAATATGCTGATTTCTGTACTATACTGAAAACAATTACATGACATATTTCATACACACCTTGGACATTGTTGGCCATTTGATAATTATCTTTGGGAAGAACACTTCAGTTGAGAGTGCAGTCTCCTTGTGAATTCAGGTGGGCTGATACGCCTCTCCTGAATCAGCAGGCTGGTGAAGGATTTTCTTTTCAATAACTAAAGGAAGACTAAATAGTACCCTCTTCTGTATCTACTGTGAAATTCAACATTAAGGAAAGGGATATCTACTGTCCTTTATCCAGTAAACTGCTTGAAGATGCATGTGATTAAAAGAGATTAAAGTTACTGTTCTGTAGCTGATCCATAGTAATTCCAGTACACTCTCTGATTCTAAACATGGTTTTGTATTTTAGTCTGTGTTCTCTGTGGACGGACAGATGACTGCCCTGAAAAGTATGGAGAAAAGAAGACCTATGTGAAATACAAACTCACTTTTCATTATTACTGTTTGGTAAGTGTGTAGTGTTGATTTTGAAGTTGTCTGTTTTAACTGGGGAAAAAGAAAAAGCAAATGCAGCAAGGATTTAACCCATCCAAACTGTTGCTGTAACAATTTTGTTCTTGTAAAGCTTGAACTGTGAGCTTTAACTTGTAGCGTCAGGTGCAGCAAATGAAATAAGTAAATCCCAACAAGCCTTTATTCAAAGTGAAATTCTGTTCCTGGTCCATTGAAATTAATTACTTACATTAATTTTCGTAATCTATCATAGCACATAGCAATGAAGATACATGTTAAGAGAAAGGAAACAATATGCACCTACAATATTCTCTCCTATGAGAAGTGTAGTTTCAAAACTTGGAATGTGAAAATTCTACCTCTGGTGGAGAAAATAGAGAAAAGTTGGGGTTTTTTTCTTGTTTCTCATTAGTTCTTGTTTGGCTTTAAGTTCTCTGACATTACATAAGACAATTTAACACTAGTCCTACTGTGAGTTAAGTACTATGTACCCTACTGATCATGTTGCTACAATATCACTAATTAGTAAAAGTTTATAATTTAAACAAAGCTATGGATATAAACTGTGGTTGAGTGCTTTTGTTATCACACAGCATTTTCCTAGATTCATATCCTTAAAAGTATACTTAAACTACCTATTAAACTCTAAATTTTTGCAGGTGACTAAAATAATATCAAATATTTTTCTCCAAGTTCAACAAAGTCTCCAGAATTCCAGGAATAATTTGGGACGTGTTTTCTTAAAGTCCTTTAAAGAATATTGATTGCAGAAGGCTTAATAGGTTGGATATTGAATCCTTTAAAGATGAAGGGCAGTGGAGGTATTCCAAAGTTATGTGAAGCTAGAAATTTTTTTTCTTAAACAAATTTTTAGCAGCTGAAAGGAAAATTAGGTCTGTTCGTGATAATTTCGTGTAGTACGTAGGGCCATATGAAATGATAGGAAAAAGTCCTATGCTGATGAAGTAGAACAGCTAGGAAAGGGCACACTTGCAATACTGAACCATATGATTTATAAGGTATTTTAACTGCAGGAAGCTCACCACAGCATCTTTTGTTTGTGTCTCTATTTCTTTTAAAAGCAAGCAAACAACACCCCGTGGTTTTACTTATGTCTACTGTATATTATATAAGAAAAGAGTTCTAGAAAGAAGCCCATTAGTGGGGCAGTTTTATTTTTCTTTGCCAGATGTCTCACAGTTGGAAAAATATAATTTGTTTTGGTATTAATTTTACATTTGACTAAAATATTGATAAAACTGTAGCTAAAATGGTGCTGTGTTGAAATTATACGATGAGATTGTAAAGAACATAGGAGGCATCAAGTTGTGAAACTAGTTATCTGAAAATTGTGATGTAACTGCCTTACTAACTTTGATGTCTATTATCAGACTCTTCTGATTTGCCTCGTTACTTGATTCTGTTTTTATTTAAATCTCCTCTAAAGCGAATTACTTTTCCTCTTAGGTTGCACTTCAGTACAGTTACTTCCTACTGTGGTTCATTATCTCCACAGCACAATTGTCATTCATATTAACTAAGCTAATTTGATTTTACTTCCTCTGAAGATTTATATGCCAAAAGTAATTGTTTGCAATTATCTGAATAGCCTGTATACTTCAAAAAGGAAGGCAAAATACGCTATTTTGGGCTCTACAATGTTGCACAATACTTTGATTTATGAAGTATTTCTTTTCATGTTATTGGCTACTATTCCCTACTGTCATATCGGACAAAAAACATGTAGGTGTTTTTTAATCATGAAAATGTTTACATACAAGCTTTGTTAGGCTAAATTTCTCTCTTACTTGACAAGCTCAGTGTAGGTAATTTTAAATCTTTAGGTAGCTGAATGTTTTAAAATGCTTAATTTGTTTTCATAGCTGTTGTCAAGTGGCATTTGGCAGAGAGGGAAAGAAGATGAAGGTATAGATGGATTCTTATTCACAGATGTTAAAAAAGAAATGAAGAGAGCTGCAAAACTGGTAAGAATGTCGTCTTTGGTATTTACAAGAGGGGAAAAAGTAACATTTAAATGCACTCGGTATTGCCTGGTGGGGTTTGTTTTCTTTTATTTCTCCAATGGAATGTGTATTGAGCCCATTCAAGCATCTGAATTTTATGCTTAAGTAGCAAGTATTTTGGGTGCCGGGAAGCCACAAGGGAAAATAAAACCTGCAGAAGTTTGCCAATGTTTTTATTTCCTGGATATGTTGTAGATAAATGAATAAGAGTGAATTACATATTCATTATACCTCATGACATTATGCTGGGCCTCAAACTGATAGTATATAATTTTATAGACGCAACTAAGCTATAGGTGGTGGTGTAATAACTTTAGCTTACATGCCACAAGACAATATGCATATAAATCAATGCATAAAGTCTGTGAAATAACTATATATCTTTACTCTTTGAAGTAGCTAAAACGCATAGTATTGTCTCAGTTACGGTCTAATGGCTAATATTATTTTGTACACACTTCTTAAAATTTTTCTATTGGTTTAACTCCTGTAATTTTACTTGGACTTTAGATGTTAATAGTCTGTTATTTCTAAAACAAATTATTCCTAGACATGTTGTGTCTGTAAGAAAAAGGGTGCTTCGATTGGATGTGTAGATCCCAAATGCAGACGAAGTTTCCATTTTCCTTGTGGGATAGAAAAGGAATGTATTTACCAGTTCATGGAAGACTTCAGGTAAGTTCTGAGGTTTTGTTGCTTTTCCATTTTCAATTCATTATATTTATACAGGAGATTATTTGGTTTGTTCGTGGGTTATTATTGGATAGGCTGTTAATTATAAGTGACATCCAGGTTATCTAATTAAAAAAACAAACCTGACTTTTGGAAGACTTGTAGGTCAAACAGTTACACCTAGTACCTGTAAACTAAATTCTTAACACTTCAAAATATATAGTTTAATGCTTCCACAGGTAGTTAAATTTCTTATAAAATTAAGCATTAAATTCTAAACTCTGCAATAAATTACATAATGGTAGATTTTTTGTTTTTTGCCCATCTTCTATGCGTTTGTTGAAATGGCAGCGGTTTGGCTGCCCATATCTCACAGCAGTCAAAACACACTGTATGCCATTCCATTGTGTTTCAAAGCTTATTAGAGGTGGACTGCAGGAAAACGGATTTAATATCAAATGTCTAAAAAAATGCTTTATTTTCTTTTATCATCTATCTAGCATTTTGGCTGTAGTCAAAGTTCTCGAGTGCATTATTCTGCCTTCTGTTAGCTGTTTGTAGGATGGATGGATTGAAGTCTGGCACGTACTTTAACTTATTAAACAACTCACATTATGTCAAGCACATATAAAGATAATGCATTTTCTGAAAGGTTTCTTCTAGAGCTGCATTTCATGGGTGTCTTATGTCTTTGAAAATTTGCTAAATTACAAAATTTATAACACTGCCTAGACTCTGCAGAATCAATATGCAAGCTCAAAATTTCTTCTTTAATGTTATGCTAACTGAAATACAGGAAGATCTTGCAGTTTTGAGGACAGAAAACACATTATTTGGACCAGTAGTTTTAGGAGAAAGAGCATATATGATCTCTAATTTACAGAGCATTGGTTGGCAACATGATTCTTCCATACTGTCATTCTGTTGACTTGCTCTGTTAGATAAGTAATTTATTCATATGTGTTGTGGTTTAACCCTGAGAGGCAGGAGAGCAGCTGGCAGATACTTGCTCACTATCCCCAGCAGGATCATGGAGAGAATCAGAAGGGCAAAAGCAATAAAACTACTGGGTTGAGATAGATCAATAAGTAAAGCAAAAGCTTGTGCACACAAACAAAGTGGAACAAGAAATTCATTCCCCACATCGCATTTGCAGACACGTGTTCAGCCACCACCAGGATTGCAGGGCTTCATGTGTAGCAATTGCTTGGGAAGCCAAATGCCATAACTCCAAGTGTCTCCCTTTTCTCCTTCTTTCCCCCAGTTTTCTTGCTGAGCTTGATGTCATGGTATGGGATATCCCTTTGGTCATTTGGGGTCAGGTGTCCTGGCTGTATCCCCTCCCAGTTCCTTGTGCACCCCTAGCCTGCTGGCTGGTGCATGGGGTAAGAAACAGAAAAGGTCTGCTTGGGAAGCCAAATGCCATAACTCCAAGTGTCTCCCTTTTCTCCTTCTTTCCCCCAGTTTTCTTGCTGAGCTTGATGTCATGGTATGGGATATCCCTTTGGTCATTTGGGGTCAGGTGTCCTGGCTGTATCCCCTCCCAGTTCCTTGTGCACCCCTAGCCTGCTGGCTGGTGCATGGGGTAAGAAACAGAAAAGGTCTGGACTCTGTGCAAGCACTGCTCAGCAGTAACTTAAACATTGTTATCAACAGCCAAATGCCATAACTCCAAGTGTCTCCCTTTTCTCCTTCTTTCCCCCAGTTTTCTTGCTGAGCTTGATGTCATGGTATGGGATATCCCTTTGGTCATTTGGGGTCAGGTGTCCTGGCTGTATCCCCTCCCAGTTCCTTGTGCACCCCTAGCCTGCTGGCTGGTGCATGGGGTAAGAAACAGAAAAGGTCTGGACTCTGTGCAAGCACTGCTCAGCAGTAACTTAAACATCCCCATGTTATCAACACTGTTTCCATCATAAATCCAAAGCACAGCACCATACAAGCTACTATTAAGACACTTAACTCTATCCTAGCCAAAACCAGTACGCCTGCTTTTTTAGCATGTTGCATAGTGTTTATTCATGAAAGACATAATAAGGAATTGATTTTGCTATCTTCAAATTTTGAGGTAGGTTCTTAAGACCTTGTTTTGATAAGGGAACCATGAATTATCATTTTTAGATCTTACTGCTGGGAACATAGACCAGTCCAAAAGTTTACAGATGAAGAATATGGAGGAGCTTCACAATGCACAATATGCCTGGATTTGGTTGAACATCTTCCAGTGTACGGTGTAATGAAAAGTCCTTGCTGTAAAAGTGCTTGGTTTCATCGAGAATGCTTGCAGGTAACGAAGGTTTTCCCTTTCTTTTCTTTTTGCATCCACAGAGAGAATGTTTCTTTTATGTTTGGAAATAATGGAGTAGTTGCTTAAAATGCTGTGAAATTGCTTAGTGTTAAAGTAGGTAGTAGGTATTGAAGTATACTAGGTTTAAAGGACAATGCTGAAATTGTGTTATCGAGACAAAAGGAATTTGGCTTTTTTAAATTTTTACCCCCCCATGTTTCTGCTAGTGTAATATATACTTCATGCCTTTACTTATTTTTAGGAAATGAAGTTCAGCCTAGGTAGTTGCATTCTTGTAAGTCATGTGCAGAATCTGAATGCTAAAAATACCATTTATCCATCATCAGTTCTCTTTGCCTCAGTCCACAGATGTAAAAAGCTACAACATTCTTTTTGTAAACTTATTCTTGATCTGGAGACGCTGACTGAAAAGGATTGTGCTTTTATTTATGAACCTTATTCTAACATGTGAGATCTTTTCCTTTAAAGGAAGAGAAAATGCTCTTCATTTGCCTCAGTGTCAAGTGACAGCACAATTGATGTCAGCTCTAACATCCATGCCAGTATAGTATACATGAATGTAATGTTTATCGATATTAAGGCATTATTTATTGGTATCCTAAGGATGGTAGTAATTCAATAATTGGTTTGGGTTTGTTTTTTTTTTTCCTTGTTTTTTTCTCTTGATGCAGTATCAAGCTTTGAGTGCTGGGATATTTTTCTTTAGGTGCACGGTATGTAATAACAAGAGCAAATTTCAAGAAGAAATGTTGAGAATGGGCATACACATTCCAGAAAAGTAAGTAGTTTTGTAAATAAGCGCTCTTCTATGAAAACTTTGATAGGGTATTAAAGAACCTTCAATTGGAGAATTGCTTGTTTTGGTAATGAGTAGCCTGTTTCCTTTAGTTGTGCATAAATATTGGCAAAGGTCAAATTAGTTATCTCAAACAGAATACAGAAAGCTCTGAAAAGTCATTTTTAATGCTTTTAATGATTTGACTAGGAACACATTGAAAAGATGAAAACACTTCTTAAATACAATAATTTTGTCTTAATATATAAGGTTGCTGAGAAGTGTGTTTTCTGTGCCCAGGATTTTACATTATCTGAATTTCTGTCCAGACGGAATTGTAATTGTCTTTTTTTGTAATTTGACTGATTACTCAGCCATACAACTTGTATTTTCTGCCAAGGGATTGTCTAGGATATGTTAGGTATAACAATTGCTTCCTAAATTCTGACCTGTTTTTCATAAGTTTCTACCACTTGATGAGCCTCAAAATATGACAGAATGACATTTCTTTGTTTTGGAGAGGAAGAAGAGTCAAATACATGATTAACTTTCCTCTACTGGCCTGGAAAATTCAGAGTTGCCTTTCATGAGACCATTTTCAATGGTAGATTGAGTAGACTGCCTAAACAAATATCTGTGTTTGCTGTGAGAGAAAGCAGAATAATATGGAACAGAGCAGACATGCAGTGAGCTCATGTGAAAAATTATAATAAATAGTTCAAATCAAAGTCTCTACACAAGAAAAAGTCTGTATCTTAGATTTATAGACTTGCCCTGCAGTTGTCTTAACTGTTGCCTAGAACTTTACATGATTGAAATATATTCATGAGTGTATTACATACATCTTTGTCCAAATATAGGGTAACCATTTAAATAACTGGAAATAGAGTTCTAATATCCTATCTTCTGCATTGTTTATAGGGATGCATCTTGGGAACTTGAAGAGAATGCATATCAAGACTTACTGCAGTCTTACCAACACTGTGATGTTAGAAGATGTCTCTGCAGGAAGGGAAGAGACTATAATAAGCCTGATAGGTATGACACTAGCAGCAAAGTGTCACTTAGGGTGGAATAGTTCTTTTGTGTGGTTTTGGTTGTTGGGGGTTTATTATATATTTCAGTGCTTCGATGTTGTTCAGCATCAGGTTTTAATGTCAAGCCAACACAGTCCAAATAAAATGTTTGTTTTCCTCCATGTAGTCATATTTCAATACTAAATTTCTCTCATCAGGCTATAAAAGCCAAGAATACCAACTTCAATGGATTATTAGTTATCTTCTCCTTGTTCTTATTTGATACAGAGCTGAAGTAGAATTTGTGCATCAACATGACATGTAGATTAGCAAGTGCATAAATGAATGTTGTGTATCTTTCAGAGTTTAATTTAGCAATTTCATAAGTGGTAAAATATGTAGAACCTTTACAAAAAATTATGTTTGAAGCACTAGACTTAGATGAAAATTAACTAGTTGTGTAAAAGCTAGTAAAATCAATCTGGCTGCAAGCTATCCCCCTGCATGCAAGTGGCAGCTAGAATACTGCTGATAGTGTAGTGAGAGGCTTGAGTGATCATGTGAAAGGCTTTATTCTGCTCTACTGCTTGATTAAATTTTGATTAGTGAGTTCATTTTCTGCATGAATTCTTGTTTTGTGTGCTTATGATATCTTCCGTTAGCGTCAGTATACTCAAAGCTGTCAGAGCCTCTGCTACAAGACTTGTTTCTATAGTACTGTGGTAGTTACTCCCTGTAGAGATGTTAGCTTTGCTTTATACAGTTTGACCAAGCATTGCTTGGTTCATTCATGGTATGTGTATGCACCTCAGGATTTACATTGTCTTTGAAAGTTGCACCTCAGACTTACAGCATTTGAACTAATATCAGTCACATTGTTCCATTGTATGTTTAAGCAAAATTGAAGAAATCTAGGCAAAAACCTAACATACTTAACCACGGTCATTAAGGAACAGTCATCTTCAGAATATAAGAATAATCATAGCATCATAGAATGGTTTGAGTTGTAATGGACCTTTGTCCTATTGCAACAGACTCTGCTAAGAAGTCTGTCTCCCAACACATCAGTAGTTTGAATGTTTCCCTAGAGAGTTCTCCTTTTAAAAATTTACCATTTGGAAAAGCTGACTGGTGGATACCCATAGAATGCAGAGAAGGTTTGCTGGCTAGCAGTGTGAGAAGAAAATACTGCCTGCAAGCTATTGACCTCAAGGCAAGAAATTGTACTAACTCATAGCCTCATTCAAACCTCACTCAACCTCATCAATGTGCTGGAACATGAGAAGCTTGGTTTTTTGCTTCGTTGCAGCCAGATGTGAGTAGAGTACATCTTGTGTGAAGAAAGTTCCCTGTGATTATAATCAATTCTACCAGATTGATAAAATTACACTTTCTTAGTTTAGTGCCCAGATTACACTTCCTGTTGAATAGTCTACATTAACTACCTCATTCTTCTTTCTAATTCTAAATAACCAAGTTTTTAATTCCAGTAACTGGGAAATAAAGCGTTGTCAGTATTGTGGTTCCCGTGGGACTCACTTGGCCTGTTCTTCTCTGAATTCATGGGAGGAAAACTGGGAGTGCACAGAATGCAGAAGTATCTTTGCAAAGTCAGGTAAAGTTATGGATGTGACAATGACTTCTTAAAATCATAACTATGAGTTACTTAAATGTACTTTACAGCTAGCAAATTCACTAAATTAATCTCATTCAATAATACAGGGAAGCGTAGCAGAAAGAAAAAACATTCTTTGGCTGACTCTGAAAAGACAAGTGGAACACCTTTGCTGGAAGAGCCATCTCTAAAGAGCTGTCGGAAGTCATCTGGACCTCAACGCAGTTTTCTACTCCAGTGTGTAATTTTCTGTTTTAAGCAGAAACTGATTAGAATATCAAATAATACTTAAACATGAGGCAGTGCCATGGCTTATTCTGTAGGAGAAACTTCTTACACTAAATTGCAAATTGAATAAAATTGGAGTAAAGTTTAGTGATTGGAGTTTCCTGAGTAAGCCTGTAAATTTGATAGTTATTTACATTTGGTGGCATGTAAATCAGTTTTTAGTTTGATAAAAGCAGATCTGAATAATTTAGAGGTAATTTCAAGTGTACAAATGGCAAAACTTTAAGGTTGCTCATTGGTATTTTTTCCATTTTAACAGTGTTTAAGAAATTGCGCTTAGAGATGTTTATATTAATGTCTTCCTCTGCTGTAATAAAAACTTCAAGTCTTGTAGAAATGAATAGTTTTTACATATCAGTCAGGACTTCCATCTCATGTATGGGATGCAATTAAAAACAGATCCTAAAAGCACCGTGTAATAAAATACCGAATTAATTTTTAAAATTGTACTTCAGGCACCGGTGGACTTCATGGTAATGAAGATGCAAATGAGATTCAGTCCTGAAGTAGTGGGAAACTATACTGCTACCTTCAAATAAGAAGGACTTATGCATTCTTCAGTTGTATCTCTTCTTAAAATACTGTTTTGGTTTATAGATCACCTAAGCTAATGTGCCAGAACAACTTGTCTCCTTGCTCACACCTAGAACTTTCAGCATCCAACAGAGTGAAGATACCCCTCTCTCCACTGATGTCAAACAGAAACTGGTCCTTGAGGTAAAAGTATTTCTTCTATTTTTTTCTTACTTGAAGAGTAATCTAGTACATGGCTTTATACCATATTTCCTACAGAACATGCAGAGGGTGTGTGTGTATATATATAGTATCTATATGTATGTTTGTGTGTATGTGTATATATATGTAGATAGTCACTGGAAAAATGAAATGAGCGTACTAAAAACCTGAAGTCATAACTTGATAAAGGCTTCTGCTGTTTATAAATGTTAGAGGGGTGCAAGGATAAAAGAATACCTCTTCAGAATTTCTAGGTTAGTGAGTGGGTCAGACCCCAGAAATGCATATTTGTTTTTACCAAAGGATGACTAACCATTCTTTAAAAAGAATCCTAATTACTTTCTTCTAATTAGTTGTCCCAAATTTTCAGTGTTTTTTGCATTTGTATGATAGGAATAGTTTATGATTGTACTAAATTCAATGCTAGAAAAACATGTTTTAATACAGAATATTCAATTTAGGGAAGTAAAATTCTTTATCTTCTTGCGAGTAGTTAATTTATGAGTTCTGTCTGTAATCTGTGCTAAAAGTTCTGATGAGGGAATTAGTTACTAGTAGGTTGGGTACTTGAAATAGTTTTAGTTGGAGGTTAGAAAGCAATGAAGAAGTCTTATTTAGACTGGGATCCTATTTTTTTAAATGAGAATTGCTATGTTTCTTCCTCAAATGTATTTTTAATTATAGTGACAAAGATTCTAATTTAATTGCAAAACATCTAACAAAATGATGCACTTCAATTTCTCACTGGTTTCACAATGTTCAAATGTAGACTGGTGTAAGTTTTTTGGCACTATGTTGGTGTAATTGAATTAAGAAAACCACTGTTTTGTGCAAAGGTAGTTCTGCCTCCCTTCTTTTCTAGTTCTTAGAAGTACTTTAAAATTTGCCACTACAAAGATAATATTTGAAAAATAGACAGTAAATATGTTACTGGTATAATTTAGTCAATACCTGAATGTGCCATAGTGTTCTTAATAGTTGGAATGTTTTCTGTATAACTGTTACTAATTATGAATGATGCATTTCATCCAAAAGTACATTTGATTTTCTTGTAGACATTTAAGAAAGCAAAGAAGGGAAGTTTGTGATATACTGAAGGAGTTAAAGCTACAAGTTAATAAAAAAAAAACAAAGCTTTACATCAATGCAGAAGATATCTGGAATAGTGCTTTAAAAGTATTTAGACAGCACAACTTCAGTCCTACAAACACCATTGAAATCAAGATCTTACACTGCAAAACCCAGTCAAAGACAGATACTTCCACTGCATCCAACCACCATTTCTTCCACTTATTAATGCTTCACCTTCAGAATTCATCATTGTTTGTGGGCTCTTCTGCAAAGAACTTGTCCCTTGATTTTCAAGGTAATTAAATGCTTTGCTCAAAAATACCTCAAGAACTATGCAGCTCAAAGCATTTTCTTTTTCTTTTTTTTTTCTTTTTTTTTTGTGACTTTCAGCCAGTATGGGTGCCAGTTGACAAGTATAATGCTTGGATAGAAATTGGGTTTTGATTGGTTTTGGTTTTTCCTCAGTTCTGAAAGGGGATGGGGTGTAGATTTGTAATAACAAAAAAAATTTGGTTTGGTTGGAAAAATTGATGACAACCAAGTTAAAAATACAGCATACTTTTTTCCTTGGCCTTTTTAACTAATATATTCATTCTCTTCAAATTAATTTATTTCTTCCTGTCTCACTTTCTCTGCTACTTAATCTCCTTTCCTTAAATGTCTAGAACATTATCTCTCCTAAAGTTAGCTTCTTTAAGTTCTTATGCTTCAGAATTAAATATGCATTGAGTACAAAGTGGAAGAGGAAGTTACGTCTTCTCCTAAGCCTTGATAGTGGCTAAAGAATACGGTACTCCTGTGTAAAAATGTGGTCTTACTGTCTCAATCATCAGGAGATGGCAAACCTCATTTGTTGCGTCTCCTAAAAGAAGGAATTGTGTTACGACATTTTTTATAAAAAAATAAGTATCACAAATAATTTCTGTGCATAATTAGTAAATATATTTTTGTGTTTGCAGCTGTACAAGAGAATCTATATTTTGAAGCTGGGAAAATGATTGCGGTTTCTCTGGTTCATGGTGGTCCATCTCCTGGTTTCTTTTCCAAAACACTGTTTGATTGTCTTGTCTATGGTCCAGAGAATGTGCAGCCAGCTTTGGAAGATGTTGCTGATGTTGATGTAGCACAAATGATAGAAACGGTAATATGCAATAAGTTTAGTTTTATTTCTTGTCCAAAATTGTATCTGGAGATAAAGGACTTACTATAACTTGTTCAGATTAAAAAGCTTATTTTTCGCCTACATATTTCACATATGTATTCTGCATACACATGTAGTAAACAATTCCTAACTTTTGTCTTACACAGATAAAATATGCAAGTAGTCTGTCCAGCCTACACTCTACAATACACGACTGCTGTGACTTCCTTGCTGCTGCTGGATGTGTAAGACCTGTAACAGATTTGTGTGAAAAGAACATGCTGGTGAATGACATATTGATCTACCATGTAATCAAGAGAATAGCTTCACCTTTAGAAAGGTTTGGTTTGTTTGAGTTTTCAGACTTGGTTTTTTCTTTTCTCACTGAAATACTAAAAATATGTTGGTAAAACTGACTTTCACATGTTCTTACTTACTCTTCATTTAAACCAGTGAAGTGTAGTGTAATTTTCAGTGGATTAAGTATCAATTGTTAAGCTAGTTTAAGCTGAAAGACTTAATACTGTTTCTGTGCATATCTGCTCTGTTCCACTTCTCCTTGGTCCCATTCTTTGTTACAGTTTTGAAACTACAGCATCACAAAGTCCTTTGCACTAAAACTTTCTCTAGCTTATTTTCATTTTTTAATCAGAATTGTTCAAATTTAGAATATTTCAATTTTAGATATGCTAGACATATGTTTAGAATTTAAATGAGTTTTCCAATGTTCTTAATTAGTGAGCTTGTGTGTGCCATTAGGAGAGTGACAGTGTCCACAAGTGTTAAGTTGACCTGCTAGAACATGAGCATTGCATTGATGTTTCCATGAAGTAGCAATGACTTTATCTGGAAAAGTTGCAGCTGTTGACTGTTCTTTGATTGGTCTCTGACCTTGCTTGCAATCTGCTGTCTTCATCTGCTCAGTAAAAAAGGCTAATTTTTATAACAAGTATAGCCAGATTTATACTTAACACATTTATAATGTTATCTTTCTTAAAAAAGTATCCTTACATTCAAAATTAGCTCCTCCTGGAGATTAAGTTGATTCAAATTTGTCAAAGTTCACAGCAATTAGTCTTTCAGTCAAGGCCCTCTGGCATATTTGAACAATCTATATCATATTTTAAAACTGGTAATGGTTATCCTGTTTGTTTATGGGGAAATGTGGGTTTGTGCATGCATTTTTGGAGATAGGCTTAAATATCCCTAAGTGAGTAGAACAAGAGTTGGTCATTTTAGCTGTTAAATGTTCTTCCCCCCCGACTATATACTTTCAACATTTTTATTCTGAATTTTATTCATTCTGCCTTTTGAAATGTAAGAAATGAAGAGTAAACAACTTAGGTAAAATTGTAATGATGATTTAACATGGTAGCCAAATTGCAAGGCCAGTTGCTTGAAATGTTTTTATCCAGTACACAGTAAGTAGTGAGGTTTTTTTCAACTTAGTTGCTTGGTTTTGGGTTTTTTTGGGGGGGTTTTTTGCATTTAAATATATCTAGTTACATTGCGGAGTCAGATGGGTGTGTAGGTTGGAAGGAACTTCTGGAAGTCATCTTGTCTACCACCCCCTGCTTAAGACAGGCCACCTTGAGCCAGTTGCCCAGGACTGTGTCCAGATGGCTTTTGAGTATCTCTGTGGATGAAGATTCTAGAACCTTTGGGCAGCCTGTGCCATTGCTCAGTCACCTGCACAGTTAGAAAGTGTTTCCTGATGTTCAGGTGCAACCTCTTGTTTTTCAGTTTGTGTTCAGTGCCTCTGGGCCTGTTACTGGGCACCGCTAAAAAGAGCTTGTCTCTGACTGCACACTCCCTTCAGATATTTCTGCACATTGAGATTCCCCCTGAACCTTCTCTTCTCCAGTCTGAACAGTCCCAGGTCTCTTAGCCTTTCCTCGTAGGGTTATGCTTTAGTCCCTTCATCATCCTACTCAGCCTTTGCTGGGCTCTCTCCAGTATGTCCATATCTTTCTTGTACTGGGGAGCCCAGCACTGGGCACAGCTCTTCAAGTATGGCCTTACCAGTGCCAAGCAGAGGAAAAGGATCACCTGATCTGCTTGCACCATAATTCCTAATACAGCCCAGGATACTGTTATCTGCATTTGCTACAGAGAGAAATAATAGCATGTAAGCAGATGCAAACTGCAGAGCCAAGCATAGGCTGTCTTTTTAGACAACTCATTTTGCCAAGGAACAGGGAATTTAAACTGTTTTCTAAAAATATACTTTTAAGAAAGATATTCACTATGTTTTTACATCAAAGTTAAAACTAAACCTTGCACAGACAATCAAGTACTGGGAAATAAAGTTAATTTTTGCATATTACTGGTATTTCTTTCATCTGCCCAAAAAGCTCCACAGACATGTAGATTGTTAAAATGAGTTAAATGCATTTTCCAAGACAAAATTTGACTACTCTATACACCTTATTGACAAGACTTGGAGACTGCAAATGGGGAAGATATATTATGTTCAGTCTTGCTTCTTTATAAAATGCAAAGTTCTAATGCATAGTTGCGCTTTTTCTTCCCCCCCCCAGCTTTAGGCAAGGTTTGAAAACTCTTGGTGTCCTAGAGAAAATGCAAATGCATCCAGATGCCTTCTCTAGCATATTCTGCCACAAACCTGAAAGACTTTCAGCAGAAACTATTTGTGATCTTTTTACAATCCATTCCTCATCAGATGTAAATAAAGTTCAAGGTGCTGATTTTTGGATGAGCTATTTGCAAGATGTGGAAAGTAAGTACATTCTTTCTTTCTTTCTTTTTTTTTTTTTGTTCTTGTCCCCCTTCCATGTGCAGGATATTTAGCTGCTAGTATATATACAGGACTTGATTTGTAGTGTTCAGTGGGGTAAATAAATGAAGGTTTAGTGGTCACTGTTAGTTCCTAATTGTTCCTCCTTCCCCTTACAGTTTGTGAAACTGTTGCCCAATTATAATCAAACTTGAGGGGTGCAACTATCTGAAAGATTGGTGCTAGAACTCCCGCGTATTTAAAAACCCCACAGCCTAAGTGATATAGAAAAATCCTTTATTAGATAGTTTGTATCTTAAAGATCGTTGTTTTCCATCATTTTCTTGTAGACGAGTTTTTCACCTAAGATTTTCTAGAACTAACCCAAGTAGGTTTTTCTTGCTAAATCTTTTCTTATTTAGCCATATAACAGCATATTTATTCAGCATATTAGTCTGATTTTGTGTTGGTTTTGTCCTCTTAACATTAACATGCAGCATAATGGTTTGTGAAATAGACAGTCAATGACAAAATCTCATCCTGGTTTTTTTAGGTGGTGAGTCTCTAGTGACATTGGAGGATATTCTGCTCTTCGCAACAGGCTGTTCTTCTATACCATCCATTGGTTTTGACCCTGAACCTACTATTAAATTTTTACGGAGGAGTTGTCCCATTGGAAACAGACTCCTTAATTGCTTGGAGCTCCCTATAACAGAGTCATATGAGCAGTTTAAAAACCAAATGGAGCTCGCCATCAGAAACACACTAAGAGGTGAAAGGGAATTGCTTTTTTTCTACTGAACTGAATGTTGGAAACTTTCATTTTCTGCAGGATCATCTGCGTGGAATTTTCTGCTGTATTTTTAGACAGCGTGCTCTCAGCCTTTTCCACTTCTGCCCCAAAGATATGCTAAAAGTAGTAATGTAAGATGGAAAACAATTTTCAAACAAAAATTGACTTTCCCTGTTGAATAATTGTCCTGTTGAAGTTGACTTTAAGAGTCAACAGTCTTTTGCAGAAATACTTTAAATGTCTACTGTTCCTGTAGACAGGTAGGAAATGTGACCAAACTCTGTAACAGGTATGTGGATTTCATTATATACATCAGTAACTAATTTATCAAAGACATACCAGGTACATTTTTAAGAAAATTGCTATAGAGCTTTGTCTTGAGTAAAACTGATGCAGTTCTTCAGTTGCATGTATATTTTTTCAGTAATGGTTTTTGTACTAATTCATTTACATGTAGAATACATAGAAACCTATGAAAGTTGAAATACTTGGAGTTTTACGGTCATTGTGGTTAGTGCATTAAAATTTAATTAAGGTCTGGAGAAAACCTGAGCAAAATAATACAGGACAAGAACAAAGTCTGTCTGAACTTGCATTTATGTTGCTAGACAAAATTTTTGACATTTGCACACATTTCTGCATTCTGCTGTCATACCTTAATTTTTAATTATGCATAGAGCCAAAACAGTAAAAACTAGAAGTAAATCTTGAATATGCATCTTAAATTGCAAGGCATAGATCAGACATTTCTCACTACTTTGCAAGTGCTAAAACAATCTAATCTCATTGAAGTCCTGTCATTAGAAATTTAAGAATATTTGAAATCAAGACAGGACTACAAGGGTTTTTTCTGGTTCTTACCCAAAAGTGTATTAATGTCCTCCTTAAAAATAAATCTAAGAGCTCTTGGAAAATGTAATTTGATTTGTTTATATACTAAGCATTTTCTCACTGTCTTCTGGGTTGTGGGTTTTTTTTCCTCTAATCGTATTAAGTGTATCTTAGCTTTGCGTAATTTTTTACTATAATTCTGCCAATTACTTTTCATTCTTATCGTTAAGAATGGTCTATTGCCATTATGAGAAGAGTGGTTTGATGCAAATTTGTTTCCATAATAAGGATTTGTGTTGTATGTTTGTACTTTTAAAATATAGCAATGAGTTTCCTGCAGACACGATATTACACTTCAAAAACGAGTGGTGTACAGTATTGCTTTTTCTTGCCTAGTTGAAGATAAAGGCCTTCTGTAATGTTATGTTATTTTTCTGTATGAGAAGTACAGAACCTGTAGAAGTAGCAAGCAGAGTGTGGATAATTTTAAAGGACAATTCTTGGACTTTTGGATTCTGCACTGGCAAGGGAAATTGCTCCGAACTTGGAAATAAATAAACTTCATTTTGAAGTCCTCAATGCAGAAAGAAATAATAATGTGATGTGAATATAAGGCTTCAAAACCTATCTGAGATTATAAAACTAATGTTCACACTTTTATTCCTTATTACTTTTGAATTCAGCAGTTGATAGTTCTAAAGGTAATATGTCACAGCTGACATGTTAGTTTTTATATAAACACTGAATTTGTAAAATCATCTGGTATTTAATATTGCTTGAAAAAGATTTTCTTACACAGACTTTTCTAATACTGATGTGAACACATTCAGGACAAGTTGTCTTTCCTTTTTTTGTCAGTTTGATCAGCTCTGTATAGACATTCTAATATAATCCCTGATATAATCAATTTGTATTCCTAAATGCTTCTATGGAGCGAAATTTCCACCTCATGTTCTCATTGTCAGCATTTTATATAGACCAATCTTACATTTATTTTAACTGTTCATTAGAATTCCTTTGAATAAGCTGACTTCCAATCCATCAAAACACAGCAAGATCTCCTTGACCTGAAACCACACGAAGAATTTGTTAGCTGTAAGGACCATGGGGTTTCTGTCTGTTATAGCAGGTCGCTGAAGTGTAATCTTATCAGGTAGTTTTCATTTTACATAACCTGAGGCATACCTGAAATTAAGGAAGTTGCTTACTTCTAGTATTTCTGTAACAGAGAGAATAGTTGCATGTACATTGCTGGTGTATTAAATATATTCTTACAGAAGTTGCATCTTCTATAAGATTTGTCAGTGCCGCAAAAGAACTATTGCAGTCCTTTGTGTTTGGCCAAAGAACTTCACCCCACACTTTCTACATCAAAACCTAAGTTTCTGTCTGGAATTAGCACATCAAATAAGCTATTTATTTTCTAGAGTGGTAATTTTCTACTAAACAATAATAGATTAGTATTAAGGGGCTTAGTATGGTCTCATTTATAATGGACATATAGCAAAAATCCTCAAGCATTTTAGCTCAATGTTTGAAAAACAAAAAAGACATTTCTGTGACTTGCTTTCACCCATTCAAAAGATGATTACCAGAAAAAGTGTTTTCTCTCAAACCAGTTAAAAACGCTAACATACTCAAAATAAGTAGAAATTTGTTTATACTTCAAGTCTAAATCATTGTTGCTGCAGCTTTGACTTTTTTCATTAAGATGGTTGGTCTTGGGAGTGGGGATTTTGAGAGTATTAGTCATTAATTCACACATTCTGCATATGCATTTTGAAAATAGTATCCAAAAACCTCATTAAAATATAAGGAAATGCAACTTTGGAGGCTGCAAAATATGCTTTTAAAGTTTACCTTGGTTCTGAATTTAAAGTTCCTTACCATATAAGATCAAACTTTACTTTTTTTACTTAAGAGAATTCCTGGTTGGGTGAAACAAAAATTAAAAATGGAAAAAAAACCCCTTTTGAGGTGTCTGTATACATATGTTCTGTATACATACGCATACAGAAAATCATTGTCAAAATATTAATGTTTGTGGAAACAATGCAAACCCTCTGATTTTTGTATTGCATAAACAATGTTATTTAGAATAGTATGCGTGAAAATGGAAGTTTTAAAACATTTTTTAGCTCTAACTTGAGCTACAGGATTAGTGCCTGAAATGTTGCATCTTAAAGCAACATTATATGTGACAGGTGTAGCATCAGTGTTGAAATAATCACTAATTCTGAGAAATGTCATGTATATGTTCAAAGTACAATAAAGGGTTGGAGATACTAGCTTCAGTGTTTTTATTTTGTTGGTTTAATGGGTTTTAGCTCTGGAAGCGTTATGTTCTGTAGTTTCATTTGTGTACCTATAGATATACATAAAGGTGTATATAGTATGTTTATCCGGACACTTTTGTATCCAAAACGGAGTGAGGGCGAGTGAGGCTCTTCCCACTGTATATGCTGTCAGGGGGAACTGAAGGGGGAAGGACAGCGTGAGGCAGAGACAAGGGAAGGTTTTCCCTTCGCAGTAACGCGGTGACTCCTATTTGTAGCTGCTAGCTGCCTGGGTTTGGAACCGCAGTGCTCTCGTGTAGCCCGAGCGTGGCTGGGCCGGCTCCTGAGGGGGGCGCTGCGGCGGGCGGGGCCGT